GTGCTGTAGAATTTGAAGAGGCACAAATGAAGGGTGAAAGAGAGAAACGTGCCAATAGGAATGAGTGTCAAGCCAACCCTGACCGGGACCACCTTCTACCTGGAAACCAACGTTCTCACTACGGGAGAAGATGCAGATCAAGAATAGGACACAGAGAAAGTGTTTGACAATGTTAATTGGAACTCTTTGTTACAGATCATTATAGAAAGAGATATGGGGTTTCATTTTATTAATGTGATAAAAGCCATATACTCCAAACAAAAGGCAAATATTCTAATTAACGGTCAGGCGACAGAGAATATCAACATACAGAAGGGCACAAGGCAGGGATGCCTGCTGTCCCCCTTGCTGTTTATTATGGTTCTAGAATTATTACTAAACGCGATAAGAAAAGACGATAATCTCAAAGGTGTCAGGATTATTGAAAGTATGCATGTATGTTTTTTCAGTGTGTTTCTATATGATTAAGAATGGTGTTAACATGTATTCAAGATGGATTCTGTTATGTTCAATTATGTGTTGGAATTGTTGTTGTAAGAGACAGAGAGGTAGAGAGAGAAGAGACCTTGACAGTTAGATAAAGAGGTTCTCTGGCTGGGAAGAAATAGGGAGTATCCGGCTTACAGCCAGAGAGCCTGATAAGCAGATGTTCTGAAACTGTACTGAAGCTGTGCTTTGTAGTTCCTGATTTTGCCCGCTTAGAAGTAGACATGTATTGAGATGTACTTAGGAAAACTGGAAGACTGCAGTGTCCTGATTTGTGTCTGTGTGATCTAGTAACCTCATCCGCTGCGCATAGCACCCCAGATTTTCACTCCGATAAAAGGAACTAAAATAGGAAAGGACGAATTTAAACTAAAGGCATTTGCCAATGACATCGTCTGTATAATAGAAAATCCGCTAGATACAATTCAAAAATGGTCACAAAAAATTGAAAATTTTGGGAAAGTATCATGCTTAAGAATCAACAAAGCCAAAGCCAAAATATTAACCAAAAATATAAAGAATCCAAGAAAAGTAAAACTTCAAGAACTGTAACAATACGAAATAACCAACAAGATTCAGCACCTAGGGATACAAATAACGGCAAACAACTCACAACTGCTTAAAAACAATTATGAGTCTACATGAAGGGTCATTCAAAAAAAAAAAACTAGACAATTCGAAGCATATGCAGCTGAGTCTACTGGATTGTAGTCCAACCCAAAATGCACTCCAGACTTACCTTCCACACAGTGTTCCACCTCTTCCAGGTTACGCAGAGTAATCCGCATAAGGCTGGAGTTGAGCATGAGTTCGTTCTTGTGAGCAGGCCACATGTAGTGCGGGGCCGGGTTCACAAAGAAAATCCGCGTGTCTCCCGTCGACACCTGGTTGTCGCAGATCGTGGGGTCCCCGAAACCCCCAATCACCACTTTGTTACCACCGTCCAAGAGGATCTCATGCGTCACGACCTCCTTGCCTTTCAGGTACCTCCAGACTCTCACCTGGAGAAAAACAAAAAGAAGACGACAGCATATTGTAAGTCCTGCAAAAATTGCAAAGATACGGAATAGGGGACAATGTCTGGCTTGACAGCAGGACATGTGAAAAAGATCTTGAGAAGATCAACATGAGCCAACAATGTGATGCGGCGGCTAAAAAAGCCAATGGGATTTTGGCCTGCATCCAGGGGCGGCTCAACCATTACGCAAAGTAAGCACTTGCGGTATAGTTGATTTTGCCCAGGGGCGCTCTTGAGGCGCTTTTGGGGAAAAATAGACCTTGACATATGCGAGTTGTAGTTACTGGCATGTATAGTTCACCTGCAATCATAGAACATTCTGAACTCCACCAATGATGGAATTGAACCAAATATGGCACACAGAACTCCCACGATGCACAGAAAATATATATCAGTGATTGGATGGGGGAGGGGAGGCGCCAAAATACTGTTTACTTACCGTTGAAAATTACCTAGGGCCTGTGCATCATTGGGTGGCCCCTCTTCATATACACCAGTGGTTCTCAACCTTTCAAATGCTGTGACCCCTTAATACAGTTCCTCATGTTGTGGTGACCCCCAACCATAAAATTATTTTCATTGCTACTTCACAACTGTTATTTTGCTACTGTTATAAATCGTAATGTAAATATCTGATATGCAATGGATCTGGACCAAATTTGGCACAAATACCCAATACACCCAAATTTGAATACTGGTAGGGTTGGGGGGCATTGATTTTGTCATTTGGGAGTTGCAGTTGCTGTGATTTATAGTTCACCTACAATCAAAGAGCATTGTGAACTCCACCAACGATGAAAATGAACCAAACTTGGCACACAGAACTCCCATGACCAACAGAAAATACTGGAAGGATTTGGTGGCACTGACCTTGAGTTTGGGAGTTGTAGTTCACCTACATCCAGAGAGCACTGTGGACGCAAACAATGATGGATCTGGACCAAACATGGCATTAATACTCAATATGCCCAAATGTGAACACTGGTGGCATTTGGCGAAAGTAGACCTTTGACTTTTGGGAGTTGCCGTTGCTAGGATTTATAGTTCACCTACAATCAAAGAGCATTCTGAATCCCACAAACGATAGTATTGCGACAAACTTTCCACACAGAACTCCCATGACCAACGGAAAATACTTTGTATTGTCGAAGGCTTTTAACCAAAGTTTGCCCCAGGCACAGTCAGGCCATTGTATGCTAATCAAGGTGGTCAGTTGAAACATTCACACCTAGCTCCAGCAAACAAGAGTCCTTTGTCTCACCCTGGTCATTCCACAGATATATAACCCTTTTGCCTAGTTCCAACAGACCTCACTACCTCTGAGGATGCTTGCCATCGATGCAGGCGAAACATCAGGAGAGAATGCCTCTAGAACATGGCCATATAGCCCGAAAAAACCTACAACAACCCAGAAAATACTTTTTTTTCTGATGGTCTTTGGCGACCCCCCTGACACCTTCTTGCGACCCCCCAAGGGGTCCTGACCCCCGGGTTGAGAAACACTGGTCTAAATAGAGGGGAGTCATGCTCCCCCTCTCTTCTGAGGGGATCAAACCACACCTGGAATCCCACTGTGTCCAAATATGGGTACCACAATTGAAGGGAGATGTTGACTCTAAGCTGGAATGTGTCCAGAGAAGGGCGATTCAAAGGATCAAGGGTCTGGAGAACAAGCCCTATGAGGAGCGGCTTAAAGAGCTGGGCATGTTTAGCCTGCAGAAGAGAAGGCTGAGAGGAGACATGATGAAGGCCAAGGACCAAGAGGTGAGGGGAAGTCATAGGGAGGAAGGAGCAAGCTTGTTTTCTGCTGCCCTGGAGACTAGGACGCAATGGAACAATGGCTTCAAACTACAAGAAAGGAGATTCCGCCTGAACATTAGGAAGAACTGTGAGAACTGTTCAACAGTGGAACTCTCTGCCTCAGAGTGTGGTGGAGTCTCCTTCTCAGGAGGCTTTGAAGCAGAGGCTGGATGGCCATCTGTTGGGGATGCTTTGAATGTGATTTTCCTGCTTCTTGGCAGAATGGGGTTGGACTGCATGGCCCACGAGGTATGCATACATAATTTCTTCATTGGATCCCCTGTAATTTCCAAACCATGAGTGGTTCATAGAAAGTAAGACGGTCTTCTGAAGTTCAGCTAGGCTTTGAGTAAAGAAGAAGCTGGGTAATGCAAAAAATGTTGACTCTAGCATCCATTCAATTAATTAACATTTTAATCAATAACTTCATTCTGGAGAAGCATTTATACCGGGATGCCAATTTAAGCCAATTACTTTAGTTTAAAAATAAATTTCATTACGCTAGCTCTTTTCATCAGCCAGCTTCCAACTTGATTCATAACTTACTTGACATTGTATAGCTAGCTGCCAGTGCCGCAGTTCCCTACCCTCTGCTCCCGAGTCTTGTTTTTCAGACTGTAAGGGTCCTATCATACTAAAGCAGTGGTTCCCAACCTTTTCTTGAGCAGGGATCACTTGACCAAAGACTACCCTCCAACCGAAAGGGTTACAAATCAGTTTTGGTCAACTTTAGATTCTGTTTGGTTGAGGTGCTGATTCAGAAAATTGCACTGGAAAGACCACATCAGCCAATTTAGAAAATTGCACTGGATAGACCACATCAGCCAATTTAGAAAATTGCATTGGATAGACCACATCAGCTGATTCAGAAAATTGCAATGGAGAGACATCAGCTGATTTAGAAAATTGCAATGGATAGATCACGTCAGCTAATTCAGAAAATCACAATGGATAGACCACATCAGCCAATTCAGAAAACTGCATTGGATAGATCACATCAGCTGATTCAGAAAATTGCATTGGATAGACCACATCCACTGATTTAGAAAATTTCACTGGATAGACTACATTAGCTGATTCGGAAAATTGCATTGGATAGATCACATCAGCTGATTCAGAAAATTACACTGGCTAGACCACATCAGCTCTAGTTTCTGATGCAGAACATATGCCACCAAGTAGTCACCATCTGATCTAGAGCTCTACAAGGATTGTCCAAGACGCAGACCCTGTTTGGGAGGAGGATTATGCGCCCCTGGACAAGTTGGGGTTAACCATAACAAGAAAACCACCAGGCTCCATGGGTTAGTTAGTTAGACAAACACAACTTCCACAAAAGAGTACAACCTAATACAAAAGGCAAAGCTGTTCAACGACAAAGGAGGAAACATAAGCTCAAAGCACAGAAACCACACAGAGATGGAAAGGCATTCCCAACGCATGTTACAAGTCAGCAAGGTTACTTATTTATTGACTAGCTTACTTATTAACATTAATTTATTTCTCTCTAATCGTGTTTACATCCCTCCTTTTTTTCCCTACTCTGAGACTCTAAGCCAAGTATGGGCAAACCCATCCTCTCCTTCCTTCCTTCCTTCCCTCTTTCCTTCCTCCTACCCTCCCACTTTCTCCTTCCTTTTCCACCCTTCCGTCCTTTCCTTCCTCTCCTTCCATCCTTCTTCTTTCCCTCTCTCCGTTCCCTACCTCCCTCTTTCTCCCTCCCTCCTTCCTTCCATTCATCCTTCCCTCTCCCTCTTCTCTTCCACCCTTGTCCTTCTCTGCCATTTTGTCCTTCTTCCACCTCTTTTCCTTCTCCTTCCCTCTTTCCCTTTTCTCTTCTCCTTCCTTTCTTCCTTCCTTCCTTCCTCCCTCTTCTCCCTCTCTTCCCTTCTTTTTTTCCTTCCTTCCTTCCTTCCTTCCTCCTCCTTCCTCCTTCCTTCCTTCCTTCCTGTCTTTCCTTCCTTTCTTTCCTTTGTCCTTCCCTTCCTTCCCTCCTTCTCTTCCCCTTCTCTTCCTTCCTCTCTTCTTTCCCTCCCTCCTTCCTTCCCTCTCTTTCCCCTCACTCCTTCCTTCCCTTCCACCTTTCTCCTTCCTTCCCTCTCTCTTCTTTCTCCTTCCCCCTTCTCCTTCCTTCCTTTTTCCTTCCTTCCTTCCTCTCCTCCCTTTTTTCTTCTTCCTTTCTTCCTTCCATTTTATCTTTCCTTCCTTTTCCTCTCTCTCTCCTTCCCTCCTCTTTCCTTCCTCCATTCCCTTCCTTTTCCTTCCTTCCTTCTCTTCCTTCCTTCCTTCTTCCACCCTCCTCCTTCTTTCCTTCTCTCTCTTCTTTCCCTCTCCTTCCTTACCTCTCTCTTTTCCCTTCCATCCTTCCTTCTCTCACCCTTTCATCCTTCCTTCCCTCTCTCCCTCTTTCTCCTTCCTTCTTTCCTTCCCTTTGTCCTTCCTTCCTTCTCTCTTTCCTCCCTCCTTCCCTTTCTCTTCCTTTCCCTTTTTCTTCCTTCCTTCCTTCTTCCCTTCCATCCTTCCCTTCCCTTTCTCCTTCCTTCTTCTTTTTCTTCCTTCCTCTTCCTCCCTCCCCCTTACACCCTTTCATCCTGCCTTCCTTCTCTCTTCCCTTCTTCCTTCACTTCCTTCCATCCTAACTTCCCATCCTTTCGTCCTTCCCCCTTCTCTTCATTTTGTCTTTCCTTCCTACTTAACTCCCTCCCTTCCCTCCCTCTTTTTGTCCTTCCTTCCTTCCCCTTTCCTCAATCTCTCCCTTTCTCCTTCGTTCCTTCCTTCCATTCTGTCTTTCCTTCCTTCTCTCTTTGTCCTTCCTTTGGACCACTCTCCCAACCACCATGTCTGATGACACAGAGATGCCACTGAAATCCACAAGCATGTGGACAATTTCAACAGGAAGGAGGAAACCATGAAAATGAACACAATCTAGATACTCTAAAATCATAACAGCAAATAAAAAACAACACTGAAAAACATGGGAATTCCAGACAGGACACAATCAGGGCCAGCTAATCACCTCCCAACAAAGTAGTCCCCTGGACAGTAAAAAGCCAGACCTTAAAACTGCTAGGCCATTAAATAATAATCAAGGTGGCCAATTGCAGCATTCACACCTACCTCAAATAGACAAGAGTATATAACAGACAGATATATAAACCCAATTTTCCTAGTTTCCAACCTCTG